TGTTTCCCCTTCAGAAACTTTAGTTGGGGTGATTGATAAGGGGGCTTCAGCTGGAGTGGTTACCTAACCTCCCCTATCCAAATGGACAGACCCTGCAAATGAGGGCTGTTTCTGGACTTGGTGACCCTTATCTACAAGTGAACATTGGACTTGAGGAAGTGTACTCTCTTATCTATAGTGGACAAAACCCCCTTGGAGCCCCCAAAATGTTGTATACTGCGCCTGCATCCTAATTAGCTTATGAATCGAGAAGATGAGGGGATAATGTGAATAGGACTCATGAATATTGATGGAAAGGGACAATAAAAATACCAATAATTAAGACACCGGTGTGTGCCCACCACCAAAGAACCAAAGATCAGACCAGACCTGCGAGACGTCGCTGGACCCCAGGAGTAGTGATATTCTTTCTCTTTTTCTTTTTTTCTCTCTCTTCTCTTTCTTTCATTCTTTCTTTCTTACTTTCTCTTTTTCACTCTTTTCTTCTTCTCTCTCTCGATATTATTAGATAGAATTAGGGAAAGCCATACTTTTATCCTATCTGTGAAACATTACCTTTATTTGATCTGTGAAATATTATTTTATCCAATCTGTGAAATATTATTACTAATAAAGTGCGTTATTACTGCCATCTACTAACCAAAGAGTGTTATTAACTCGTTACCTTTGATGAGCAGAGGGTTTCTGCTGTGAAATATTATTACTAATAAAGTGTGTTATTACTGTCATCTACTAACCAAAGAGTGTTATTAACTCGCTACCTTTGATGAGCAGAGGGTTTCTGCCGTGCAGAGGAAAACTCCTTTTAAAAGAGAGGATACAAAAGCTTCACCTACCCTGAAACCCACAGAGTGGGATGGGACGTTTAAATTGGCATCACAGACAAGATCCTCTCTTAAAGCAGAAGAGATCCCAAATCGAAATTCAGGAAAGGAGAACAGAGAATTGGCCGAGGCCGAGTTGTCTGATACGTGGCCATGGCTTCCCAGGTACAGCCTGACTTTTATTGTTCCTCATTGTTGCAATTATTAAAAGAATACAAAGCTTGCCCCATACCCCGAGGGTGGAGCTGGGCTGAGGAAAATTGCCAGTCACCTCTGGTTGTAGCAGAGCAGATAAAGGATTTGGCTAAGGAAAACAGATCAAAGCTGGGACTAGGGAAAGCTACAATATGTGGAGTACTAGGGGCCTCCCTCCTGGTAGCACAGAAAGATAAATGCATTACCAAACACACTGAAAGAGAAACAATTGAGTCCTTACAAAACTTAGTAAAACAACTACAAGGTTGCTTCACTATTTACTGCAGGAACAGGGAGAGACTGTAAATGTTTCCTACACAGCTATTTTCTGTTTAGGCTTTGTTATGTACAGCTACAGCTGGTGGATTGTTTAAGGTGTTCTGATAAGTTTTACACTACAAGTTGCAGGCTGGTCATTCATGTTGCTAGTCATCAAACTCAAGGAATGAGATTTCTAACTTAGCTCAGTCTTTTTTTGAAAAAAGTCTAGAGAATGCAAGACTGGTATGACATGATGCAGCTGGCCTGAATGCAGTGATGACATGTACTAAAAAATATAGTGACTAATGATTTCTGATAAGAAATTTGAGGCCTAGAGCTCTTCCTGTATCAAAACTGTCATCAAATAGAGCTAAAAAGATGTCACTTCTGCATTCTTCATGTGATCTTAGTATCCATGGAGAGTCTATGGGCATTGTGTGCTGGGAACTGACCTGACTGGGGTGCATGAAATAGAATTCAGCCAAAAAAAGACTAAAATCATGCTTTTCTGTCCATTAACAATATGTCTATAGTATTTTAGCTCATTCTATCATCTCTTCTTCATTCATAAACTGATTTAATCCAAGGGTTATGGTAATTTAAGAGGTCTTCTGTTCTTGTCTGCATTGCAGCCTGGAATGTGTTATATTCATGTTCCCAATACTTAAGACCATTTTATAGGACTGCTACCTATTCCAATTATTATTATTATTATTATTGTTGTTGTTGTTGTTGTTGTTGTTATTGTTGTTATTATTATTATGGATTAGCAAGGCACCTTACTGGATAAACAGTTCAGGCACTCCAGGAACTACTCGATTAGATGCTCAATATGTAATTTAATTAAACATTGTGGCAAACTCAGACTTAACCAATATTAGAAAATATATTGCTGAGCATAATTCAAAGACTGTATTTGTTACCTTAGTAAGATTTTCTGAAATCAGAATGACAGACCTTTTAAACTGTTCTCTTTATCATTGAAGTAGAGAGCATTGTAGGACACATATGCTACAGTTCTAGCTTTTAACATGAATAGATTTGTGGTGGTTTGGCCCTGGCTGGACATCAGGTGCCCACCAATGCTGCTCTATCATTCCCCACACTCTGCTGGAAAGGGGAGAGAAAATATAATGACAGGTTTATAGGTCAAGATAAGGACTCTCCAAATACCATCACAGGCAAAACAGATTCGACTTGAGGAAAAAAACATAATATATTACCAATCAACTCAGAAAGTAATGAAAAATAAAACCAAGTCTTAAAACACTTTGACCCCACACCTCCCTTCTTTCTGGGCTTAACTTCACTCACAAATTCTCTACCTCCTCCCCCTGAACAGCACAGGGGGCTGGGGAATGGGGGTTGGGGTCAGTTTATCACATGTTGTTTGTGCCACTCCTTCCTCCTCAGGGGGAGGACTCTTCACACTCTCCCCCTGCTTCAGTGTGGGGTCCCTCTCACAAGAGACAGTCCCCCATTACTTCTCCAGTGTGAGTCCTTCCCATGGGCTGCAGTTCTCCAAGAACTCCTCCAGTGTGAGTCTCTTCGATGGGATGCAGTCTGCTCCAGCGTGGGTCCTCCATGGGTTCATAAGTCCTGCCAGCAAACCTGCTTCAGCGTGGGCTCCTCTCTCCACGGTGCCACAGGTCCTGTCAGAAGCCTGCTCCAGTGCAGACTTCCTACAGGGTCACAGCTTCCTTCAGGCATCCACGTACTCCGGCATGGGGTCCTCCATGGGGTGTAGGCAGATATCTGCTCCATTGTTAACTTCCATGGGCTGCAAAGGTACAGCCTGCCTTACCATGGTTTTCACCACAGGTTGCAGGGCAATCTCTTCTCCAGCACCTGGAGCACCTCCTGCCCCTCACTCTTCACTGACCTTGGTGTCTGCAGAGTTGTTTCTGTCACATATTCTCACTCCTCTCTCTCACTGCAATTGTTGCTGCACAGTAACTTTTTTCGCCTTCTTAAATACATTATCACAGAGGTGCTACCACTGTCACTAATTGGCTCGATACATTACCACAGAGGTCCTACCACTGTCACTAATTGGCTCTGCCTTGGCCAGTGGCAGGTCTGTCTTGGAGCCGGCTGGCATTAGCTTGGATCGGACATAGGAGAAACTTCTAGCAGCTTCTCACAGAAGCCACCCCTGCAACCCCCCTGCTACCAAAACCTTGCCACTCAAATCCATTACAAGATTCCACACATAAAAAATTTCAAGCATTATAACATAACTTTATTAATATGCATCATTATAATATGCCCTGCAGCACCACCAAACAACTGTATCAAATAATCTATATTTTTGTTCTTTCAAACTTAAGGATTAATGCATTTACACTGTTCTCAATTTAAAATTAGGGGCAAAAAGATAAGTATGTCTCTCTCAATCAAATGCAAAAAATGAAGCCATAAGATATAAGAAGCAATTTTTGCATTCTACTACCCAAAACTACTTGGGGATTTAACACATCCAGTTGAACTGTACATTACTGCTGCTCTGATACTCTTAGATACAAATTAAATTTAAATTATATCTTTTTTAGTTCAATTAACATAAGTATTGCTTTCATGTTGTTTGTTTCCATTTGGTTCATTGCTCTTCTGTTGCAAAGAACGAATGAATCCTAAAAGAATTATTTCCCATGGAATACTAACCTTTTATTATAATCCAAGTAGTTAGTTGGTAAAGCTTAATAATTATGTTGATTCTTTCTGCAGGGATATTTTGAAACGAAGCACTGTTATGTGTATGTAAAAATAAAATGCTGGTTACATTTCAGGCGAATTATCAAGTTTCTCTCTTAAGGATTAATTTAAACTCATCTGTCATTTAAATAATTGTACTTTTGCTTTAAATTAACTTTTTTACACTTATATTACAAATAATGGAACACTTTATTCTTTCACTTTCTGGAATGTAGTTAGTTATGCTTTCTTTATTCCTCTGTTTTTGTTAATAAAGCCTTCATTTTGTATCCCGTCTTTGTATATTACATACAAGATACTTTTAACAGCAGAGGCTTCTTAATGATGTTTTCATGATGAACTGGTAGGTCATTGTGTACATAATGCTCTTTATTGGTTTTGAGTGCATCTATGTAAGTAATTCAAATTACTAAGTTGAGAAGGAAATGCTTTGACTGTATATGGAAACACTCTTTAAATATTTTGCTTGAGATTGTAAGTACAACATTCTGTACTTCCAGCAGAAACATGTCTGAAAAAAACTACATGAGTGCCTAAAATAATATGAACCCAAATTAAAATAGAACTTCTAATCTTTGATGAAAATATAATGTAATTTCACAGGCTTTTTTTTGCGCTGTATGGAAGATTGGAATCAAGTGTAACAAGATTAGTCATCTTAGATAGTTATGCCACTGAACTGTAAAAAAAAGACCATAAAGTTAGAGCATACTGTTATTCAGATTTGCAATACTTTGATTCTATAGGGGCCATTTGAGGTGTTTTTTTCAGTTTCCTTGGAGAGGGAAAAAAGTGATATATACATATATATATATGCACACACACACACACGCACATATATATCCTAGAGACTACTTCATTTAAAGAAATAAAAAATATTTGTCAAGATGTTGGAAGTGATCAGAAAATCATAGTAAAGTCTTGACACTTTCAAAAAAAAAAAAGATCCAATGTCAATTTTGTATACATTTTTGTATACATTATCCTATTATTATGTCTCATCAGGTGCTACAACTATTGAAAAGTATGATCTCAGAACAAATATATGGATTCAGGCTGGAGTGATGAATGGCAGGAGGCTTCAGTTTGGTGTTGCTGTCATCGATGACAAGCTGTTTGTCATTGGAGGACGGGATGGTTTAAAGACATTAAACACTGTTGAGTGTTACAATCCAAAGACCAAGGCTTGGACTGTGTTACCACCAATGTCAACACACAGGCATGGCTTAGGTAAGGAAAAAAAAAAGTTTTTATGTTTTAAAAAGTTAACTACATTTTTTTGGATATGGATTTTTTAATGGAATACTCAGTACTTTTAAGCTATCGAAACACTCTGAATACTAGCAATAACTAGTTACATTGCCCTTGTTAGATCGCTAAGAATATATAGAAGGTTAAAATACATTTTTATTATTTACCAAAATAATACCGGGAAAAAGAAAAAAAAAACAACACAACAAATAAAAGGCAGAGGAACAGGGAAAGAAACTCTGAAACTTTTACAGGTTAGTGAGAAAATTTAGGTTTGTATGCACTGATTTTGAAAAAAGACCTCTTTATTTATCAAACAATCAAGGTATTTTTTATTTTTTAACTAAGCATTATGTGTTTTTATTTATCCAGTATGATAGGAAATAATGGCTGTAAACACTGTCAGTGATGGACTGATGTACTTTACATAGTATTTGTAGCAATAGTTTCATTATGACTGAAAGCATATTTTCTCATAGCCTGTTTTCACATAAGTTGTCTTCTGTTTTGGTTTTTGGTTTTTAATAGTATTATCCATATCATTGTCAGCATTAGTGAACCCACATTGTATCCCTGTACTCTACTCAAAGAAATATGTGTTTGGTGGTGTTTTTTATTATTTTTTAAATTAACAAAAGGCAGTTATATTGTTTCCTTGAAAAACAGAGTAGTCTTTCTATTATGTATATCATATATATACAGTAGGAAAAAAAAGCTCTAATTTATGCAATTGCATAAGTAATTTTATAAGGTTTCAAAAATTATTATTTTTTTTATTATTTTTCACTGTAGATTGACGAGATTTTGTGCTTAAAGAAAGGAATTTAGGATCTATAGGACATACCTACCAGTATATAACTTTTATAAGGTATAGAAAACTGAACTGTTCCTTTTCTGTTCTCCTAAAATCACTTGGTGTGATAGAATCATTACAACATCACGAAAAACAGAAATGAAATAGAGATGCTAAGTTATCCTATGCATTCCCCTCTGTTATAATCAACAGCAAGTCCTTAATGTACTGCTGTGTCAATATCTCAGAAAATGATGGTGCTTTACCATCACCACCACCACCATTTGACACTTACAATATGCATTTGCAACAGTTGCTAGCATAAGGCATTTTTGCTATTAAACATGTCTTACAGTAAAAAGTAGTGATGGAAATCTGTGTCCAATGGCATCATGACATTAAATAGCTCTGTAATTTAAAATTGTTTCCTAAGTTTAAATTTAATTGTAATCAAAAGAAATGCATAAGATATTACATGCAGAAATACATGTAATGTCTTTTTTACCAATGTTCCAGAATTTTACCGAATCTGTTATTAGTTTCAATGCCACCCCCAAGGGTGGCAAAAAAGCAATAATTTCAGCTATAACACAGGAAAGTATTTATAAAATATTAGGGAATGCTTGATAAGGAAAAAAACTTTTCCCAGTGACAAGAGGGCTGGAGCCATGATCAAAACCCCTTTTTGATCAGTTTAAAAAAAAAAAAATAGAAATCATTTTGGATTGATAATTCTACAAATGCTTTTGGTCAATAGATTTAAAAAATACCTTTGTAGTTTAAGTAAAGATGTTCAGGAAAGTTGAGGTTATGACTGAAGAAAAACTGGTATGTTTTCTACAGGAGATGAAAGAGAACATGTAAGACGTTTGACTACTTGAGGGTTTTTTGGGTTTGTGCTGAATCTCTTTGAATTTTAATCTTGCAAAAATTTGGGCTTTTTATAAACAACATGTAAAATGAGGGAAGATGTATATACTGCAATTTTACTGCTCATGATGAAAACGGTTAAATGCAGTTGTTTGGGAAGCAATAGAGATGTGCTCTTTATTTTTTCCATAATTGCTTAAGAGTCATGATATATTATTTCCTGAGAAGCTCAGCTACTAGAATTTCATTGCTTTTTTTTTTTTTTAAATATTTATTTTTTTCCAGGAAACCCATAAAGTTATTATTTTAGTAAATGCCCTTTATAATGAGAACTTCATCTGCAGTAAGAAATCTCTTTCATTTGTTTTCTAAAATATATGTTATGTTATATCCACATGGTGATAATGCTAGAGCTGTTTGAATTACCTTTTGTATACAAGATTACAAATAGACACCCTACTTTTAGACTGATGTCTTTCTGTTGACATCAGCAAAAAATTTTCAGATGTACCTAATTGTAACTGAAGTCACAATCAGGCAATACAATTCACTTTTTTCTGTCTTCATATAATCTTCAGTAGAACTGTGTGTGTAGAAGTTGATATACGTAGAAATGAGAAATGAGAAAATGAAAACTGATAGGTCTTGCAGTGAAAGCACATAGTTTAGGGAGTCGTATGTTAGACAATTTCAGCGTTGTCCATGGAAGATGACTGGAAGCTATCGTAGTGGTAGTGTTTGGAATAAGTGGTGTTAAAGTACAAAAAAGAAAGGGTAGGCTGTGGGATCCAAAAGTATTATTTCCACTAACAGTGATTCTAATATCCCTGTCAAGTAGGCCATAAAACAGTATGGAATATAAAAGAGTAGTAAGAAGCCAGAAAGGCAGTGAAAAACACAGACAAAATATGGGGAAGGTGAAACCTGAGAAACAGAAAGACCAAATCAAAATCCGTATAGGGAAGGCAGACCGAGAGTGAAAGAACAAAGAGGGAAAAAATTGTAAAACAGATTGTGGATTATAAATTCGGCAAAGAAATGAGTGGGTGCAGAATTGCTTCGTAAAAAGACTTGATAGTCTATATAGAGGAGGAGGAGAGAGAGAGAGGAAACAAGGAAACAATTAGACTAATCTAAACTTGTCCTTCTAAAGTAAACAATTTAAGTGCCTCAGTAAGAAAATTAGGCTTCCAGTACAGTTAAGGGAGAAGGGCAGTCTTTTCAGGTAGGTGTCCTAAATTGTCTTGCCCTTTCCATGAACTGCGTAAAAAGTGTCTAAGCTCCTACTTTAGCTTAGATTTACACTGTTTGTTAAGCCTAGACTTGAGCTTTGGGTTTTGTCTTTGTAAATGCACTGATCTAACTGTTCATAATCAAACATGTATTTGCAAGATGATCAGCATGGGTATTACCCAACAACTTCCTGTGAAGCTTAGAGTGGAGGCAGGTTACATATTTTTCCTTCTCCACTCTTGGAAGAGAGAATTTTGCCAGTTGGAATTGTCTGAGTGAAAACGCTGTAAGTGCTATAAAATATTCATTGCTGATGGTCCTAGAGGACCTAAAGAGTTTCTGAGCCTTCATTTACACAGTGGGTTATGACTTCAACCCATTGTTCTGACCCAGATAAATACATAATGTAAATGTATTCTTAAGGACCCAAGGGGTATGCTTGAAGTTAGACAGAGTGAATACCTGCCTATAGGTGATTGTCCTGAAACTGGTATGTTCAGGAATGAATATCTAAAAGATTAAGTTCAAGAATCAGAAGTGGAAAGAAAATATAGGAAGTTAGGGAGTTAGAGGATAAAATATTCCAAAATATCTTTGGTGTTTAGGACAAAAATATCAAACAGCATTATGTGTTTGCACAAAGGTCTATTTCTGTATTTCACTGAAAGGGTATGACCCACTCTGCTTCTTAGACTCAGCTTGGTTTTCCACTTCTGTGCTTACTGCTCTAGAACTCAACACGCAGGGTAGAGGAAAGGAAAAAAAATACCAGCTGGGGAAAAAAATAAAAAAGGATAGCTCTGTAGTTTTAAGTAGTAATGAGAAATGTTAATAGAGGAAAAGATTATGGAAAACTGAACTATCAGTCAAAAAGCTGATAAGTTAGTTAACAAAGGGAACAGGTAAAATCAGAGCTAAAAACCAAAAATAAGATAGGACCTTCTATTTATTTTGGCCAAAATCAAAGATATGATTATGGTACATAAGTACATGTATATGCATACTGTGTATATATATATTTATACATGTATATATGTCTATATATGTCATATATATCATGTTGTGTCTGTGTGTATCTATAAATAGATACACATATCTGATTAGTCTAAAATTCTTGCATCTTTTTTCTGTGGACATTGTGATTCATAGCACTGCTTTGGTCAGTAATATAGAATTAGTAGCATTTTTGAGCTTGTAAGTTATAAACTACCCTCGACTTCATCACAAAGTAAATTAAATCAGTTTACCTGCATTAGAAGCATTCATTTATTTCCAAATCTCTGTGCCTGTAGAAAAGCTGTGGGTCCTTTCCTTGCGTTGTCAACAGTTATTATGTATGCAATGTCCAGCTATGAAGAAGTTTAACTGATAGCTGAATTCCTAATGCAGCTGCATACTTAAGCCATTTTGTCCCTGAAACTGATAATAATAGGAAGGTTTGAATATTTATTGAATACTTCATTTCTCTTAGTAATTTTACTTTGCATAGAAGACTGTTTTTGAAATAATACGAAAGCTTATTGTCAATTCTTCTATTTATTTAAATTTTCTCCTCTGCACTTGAAGTACAAGACACTGAATAAAGTAATATCTCCTAAAATTATGAGGTGCAATCAACTTTTTATGGATGTAAATTTGCATTAAATGCTAGTGACAAAAATTATAGTCCAAAACACTGACACCAGGCAAGGTGGAAATTTGTAATACAGACATGGAACTATAGATTTACAGAACTATTGTTGTGATTCTTTAAAAGGACTATACATATTAAAATTTACAGAGAATATAAATGCAGTTAAATGTATTACGAGTTTTAAGAATAATAAATATTACATAAAGTTTAACAAAGTGAACTACATACCCAGCAAGATATTTTTGGTTGGTTGTTTTTTTGGGGGAAAGGAAAGGTATGTTGCTTTGTCTTAGCATAGGGAACTAACCACCATGAATTATCTAATAATGATAATTAAATTCTGCCTATTCAAAGACAAATTTTCAAGCTTTCTTGAACTTTAAAGAAAATAATTTTGTATTCTTTCTGAAAAAGTTCTAGAAATGCTAGGCCCAGTTTTCATCATTTCAC